ACTAGAAGAAACAATTAGATTTCTTATACTTCAAAACTGAGTTAACAATATCTATTTCAAAACAATTTATCAAACTCTTTTATGCTAAAAATCTTTAATAAACTCTTTTAAAAATATATATTGTCAAAATCATGTCTATATAGATATAGTTATATAAATGAGGTTGAAAGGACTTAGGACTGATAACTCGCTTTATTTCTTGTTCCTTATTTGGTTGTGGACTTAGAGTATTCGGTTGTTTGTCCGAGTGTCGTTTGAACCTTATTTATATATTATGTATATGTATATAGTTATTAAAACTTGTATTTCAGTTCAAAACACACGCAGTCATTCGAATAACATTACTAGTATTCTATAATAGGCATAGTTTTAGAGATTACTACTCACTATTTCTAGTACAATTAAACATACAAGAGTCGGTTCATTTATGTGTCAATACAAACTTACTATTATGAGAAACAGAAAGAACATACTATGATGAGAAACTAAGAGAACATACACTATACTATACAAGAGAATATACTATAGAAACACCTGAATACGATAACTAGAATGTGAAATACTACTTCATGATACAAAAATATGTTGTTGTATCACATTGTAACCAAAGTCTCCTGGAGGGAGAGTGGGCATCCTGTGTATAGATCTATACGGGACAGACACTCCCACACCCTGACTATTAGCTACAGTCCCAACCGGTAAGGCCAAGCGGTGACAAAATGTTACCTCAGTATTTTATGACACCGAAAAGTCATCTGGTATTCAGCCATCAATCAGCATGGTTACAAACTAATTCACATCTAAACATTTAATTAACCAAATTGGAATTAAAGGCAACAAGACTCCCCAAGGAGTATAGTACATTTAATATGACCTTGCGTTTTCATTTTATCATTTCATAGTCAGTAGTGTCACTGTTGGGATAAAACGTTCTATTTTCCTAATAGATGATAGTGATAAATGGGAGAAAACATACTTTTTACATAGTAACAAAGTACTGCTATGTTTTTGTTACTATTACAAGTACATATGCAAACATTACAGTTTTATTCAAAAACAAACATGTAAAACAGTCGGGCCTCGGGTAGAAGGCTACTTTATTTATAAGCAGGAAATATAGGATTTTTAGGGAAAACTTTACAAACTTTTCAAGGTTTTAATACAAACATTTCGATGTTTTTAAATACTAAAGGACACTAAATACTTATGAACTCACTAGTATTTTATGCTGATACTCTCTTTCAAAAAAAATTGTATTCTCAGGGAACCAGGAAGTCAGGTACACCCATGCAGCTTTTGAAGGACGGAGTGGATCAAAGACTCGTCTTTATTTTGATTGTACATTTTTGGTGTCATTTAAACCTTACAAAATAACACACATGTATTTAACTATTCTACTAATGGAATGGATGTTGTTTCTTGTTTATACTTTTTTGCAGTCCTCCACCCCCGAATGTTTCTGCCAATTCGGTTTGGGGGTGTGACATTTTTTATATTATGTTCTGTAGTAGTGTAAAATGTATTAGTATGCATGTCTAATTACCACCAAATGTATTGTATAACATTGTTTTAAATGAAAATCCCTTTGTATGAAAATCCTGGATATCACCAGTAATGTATAGAATGTTTTGTTTGAAAACGTTGGTTACTACCAGCGATGTATAGGAGTTTCATTACGTAAAATAAAACTATGAGCTAAAATCCCTAGAATTATCCAGTTGTATTGTGAACTAGTTTTATACTATTGTGAGTCATATAACCATGCTTGATATGACCTAGTGACCTCTACGACGTTCTTCAAGTGTCGGATAAATGACATTTGTTGCCCCATGCATGCTTGCCTAACTGTAGCTAGTAGTTCAGGTGTGGGATTTTCATTCCAAAATAGATCTATTCACAAGTCTCATGCTCTCCCTCCATTAGACTTTGGTTATACTATGATAGGATTTAACTTGTACCCCGAAAGGTATAATTGAAGTGTTGTCTCACAATCCTGTATTAACTAGTTTACGTGTAGTTCTGTATGGTTCCCTTGTATTTGAATACGTATATATACATTATAGAGTACTAATTATACTTAAATAATTATTCAATGTTGTACTCTTGAAGTCCGAATGTAGTAATGTATATCTTAAACTAAATTTGTCATAGTTTATATATTTTGCAAATGTATGACTTTGATTTAATGAAACTATGTATTGAAAATCCCAAACTACACCTATCATTGTTTGCATGTATATTGTGTACTTGGTTCGTGTATTGATCTAAAAACTATGCAATTATAGCTGTATGTTGAAAACGTCCCTTATGCTCAGTATGTTACAAAAGGGATAAAATATCTAAATATTTTGTAAAACATGAAAATCTTTTAGTTGTATCAATTGCATAAGTTTATACTTGTTGAAATTCTTTTGTATAAGTTCACAAAATCATTTTTGTTTAGCTTGTATTCCCCCCTGAAACATTAAAAATAGTAAAGGCATATGGGTATGAACTCACTAGTTGTCGTGTCAACAGTCGGGCAACGAAAACTGGGAGTGAAGACCCTCGAGTTGATGTACGCAGTACTTAAGGAGATCCTAATCAATAATTAAATACATAATTGTATTTTATTAGTGAAACCATTATTTATAGTATTAGAAAAACACTTGTTTTCGGTTTACGAATGTTACCGGGACTCGATTGAATCGAGGAAAATGGGTTTTTAGCCAAATTCACCACTTAAGAAGGGTTTGCAGTTGTGAACGGATTACGGCCGTAAACAGTTCTCGGCCATGAACAGCCCTTAGAAGGGTTTACGGTCGTGAACATTGTTCTTGAAAGAACCTTGAATACTTGAAGGTTGTACGGCCGTAAACATTTTCCGGCCTTCGAAGATTTGAAGATTTGAAGCATGTATGGTCGTAAACTCAAGAACAAGGATGTTGGATTCGGTGAGGAACACTTTTTAGATGCTCCAAAACGACCTCCAGAGGTGATTCTTGATGATTTTTGGAAGAAATGGGGGGTGTTTTGGGGTTTACGGTCGAGAGGTAGAGAGAGAGAGAGAGAATAAGAGAATTTTCAGCCAAGAAAGTTCAAATGAAGGTGGGGGTCCCGTACATATAGGTTGGGGGTATGGTCGGTGGTGGGGCCCACCCACCGAGAATGGGTTTACGACCGTGATCGGGTTCACGGCCGTGAACACTAGTCAGGCCGGATTTTCGCTGATTTTTTATGGAAACTTGGGTTTTCGCGTGATTTAGGTTCCGTCTCATAAAAGGAAATTCACTTATATAACCTAAATGATTTTTCAAATCATAAGAATTTGACGGAATTAAATAAAATTCAAATTTTATTAACTGAATTCGGGTTCACATTAACGGTAAATGATTGGGGTTGTCACATCATCCCCACATTAGAGGGAATTTCGTCTCGAAATTCAAACATAGAATACAAATTATGTACTTGGGAAGAGATGGGGATACTTCTGTTGCATTGAATCTTCGCGCTCCCAAGTGAATTCAGGTCCTCGCTTGGCATTCCGGCAGACCATCACTATCGGTATGCGACTTTGTTTCGTTCTTTGACTTCCCGATGCATGATTTCGACTGGTTCTTTTGACTTCCAGGACCATCAACATAAAGTAAGTTTATTTATAACATATTAATCCTTTTCAAATTACTTATAAATACTTACATGTATGATGGTTTTTGTATAGGTTTGTTTGCAATTTATTAAAGCTATATTGCCACATGTGGAGCACAGGCAATGTGCCCGACACACACACATATATAGATATATATATATATATATATATATATATATATATATATATATATATATATATATATATATATATATATATATGCAAATTTTAGAAAAGCTTACACTGGGGTGGAGTTGAAGAAGCTGTTTTGGGCTGCAGCTATGAGCTGTGTGGAAGGTGATTTCAAGAGACATATGGACACAATTAAAAAGCTCAATCCTGGTGCATATGAGCATCTCATGTCCAAAGAATCCCAAACATGGTGTAAAGCTTACATGAGTACATGGTATGCATGTCAGGCAGTGGAGAATGGTATATCAAAGTGCTTTAACTCCATCATTGTGCATGCTAGGAAAAAACCATTGATCTTAATGCTTGAAGAAATAAGGATATACATCATCGATAGGTTTGCTCACATGATTGAGGAAAGCACTAAATGGAATACCCGTATATGTCCAATAGTGTTAAAGAAGATGAAGCTTTTTGGGATGAACATGAGGTAACACTTTAACATGTAACTTTTGTTTTAATTTCATTAGGTAAAACTTTAACATGTAACTTTTCTTTTAATTTCATTAGGTAAAACTTTAACATGTAACTTGTGGATGAAGGTTTTGGTTAGTAATTCATAGTCAACAACATGTGTTTGAAGCAAGGAGAGGATGTGATAGCTACATCGTGGATTTAGATGGAAGGCATTGTACCTGCAAGTTATGGGATCTGGCTGGGATCCCATGTGTTCATGCCATTGCAATCATCAACTATATCCAACAAACACCTGATGAGTACACTGATCACATGTTTTCTAAGGAACAATTCCTTAAGTGTTACTCTGCTAACATTAGCCCGGTGAATGGTTCAAATCTATGGCCTCAAACTGAATTCATAAAGCCCTTGCCACCAGTGTCAAGGAGAATGCCTGGTAGGCCAAAGGTCAATAGAAGGAGTCATGTAACTGAAAATGATGGAAGAGTACACACCCCAAGAACTGTAAAGTGTGGTAAGTGCTTTGAGTATGGCCATAACCCGAAGGGATGCAAAAATGAAATCAGGGAACCTGTCCCTATGCCACCAAAGAAGAAAAGGAAGACCAAGGAAAGAACAATGTGAACCCAGTCAAGCATCATGTGATAGGTCTGAGAGGCAGGAACCTGCCCCTATGCCACCAAAAAAGAAAGGAAGGCCAAGGAAGGAACAATTTGAACCCAGTCAAGCATCATGTGATAGGTCTGAGAGGTAGGAAGTAGTTCCTATGCTACCAAAGAAGAAAGGAAGGCCAAGGAAAAAGGTCCACTATAACCCAAATCAAGCATCAGGTTCTAAATTTGTTAGAAGCAAAAAGAAGTTGGGGATAAAAAGAGGTGGTGACATTGTTGAAGATAGAGTTCTACTTGATGAGCATGATAGTTTAGATGGTCATGTTGAAGGTAGGGGATGTGAGGAACAAATGAAAGATTTGTTTGACAAAGAAGATATTGATGATAACAATTTGGTTGATATGATGTGCACTTTTGAAGCTTGTCTTAGCCAACCAAAGTATAATTATCAGAAAGGTGATGGATTCCAAGATGCAATGGATGCTATTATTCAAAGTATTCATCATGCTAATTATGACAAAGGTGTTGAGGATGTTGGACCCGAACTGAAAAAAACACTTGATGGGGTTAAAGATGCAATGGATGCTATTATTCAAAGTATTCATCATGCTAGAGATGGTATTATTCAAAGTATTCATCATTAGCCCTTCCTTTTATGTAATGTACTTTCATTGTACTTCCATTCATGCAACATATACATGAGATAGCAATTAACTACCATTAATACCCTTAATACATTACAAACATGTAACATTCAGCCGTTAAAAAAAAACATTACAAAGATGTAACAATTCTTCATTACCCTTAATATATTACTAATACAGGAAAAACTAACAAAACTACATATTAATAACCACTATTGCTAGCATCAATGATATAACCACTAACAACCCTATGATCACTTCTAACAATGGCTTGATCTCCTCAGTATGAAACATCTCCATATTTTGACCTAGTTCTTCATCCGCCCATTAGAAAAAACCACAGTTACCTCCTTCCACCTACAACAAAAAAAAAAATACTAGGGTTCTATTACATACGTTCCTCTTTGGGAAGGTAGAGCAGCCCTTAATTTTTAGGGAGAAATTAGTACAAAAGTAAATAGATTTTTACCTGATAATTAGGGCAACCCCAAAATTTTCGTCTTGGGTTATCAGGTGTTCGTGAGACTGATACACCACAAACATGACCACAGTCGCATCTTATTACCTTCTTGTTCCTCATTCTTGTACCACCATTGAAGCTTGATCTTGAAGACGAAGTTGTAATTTTTCTGTTGTAGCTCTGTGACTAACTGTGGGGGTCGAAGGGATCAATTGCACACAAGGATGTCTGTGAATGAGTTTTTAAATGATAAATGCCACGTATCTTCCACCTAAACAAGTGGTAACCGGTTGATTAAAGGGAAACCGGCTACTTGGCAAAAATGACAAACAAAATGAAAGTTTAAGGCAAAAACGAACCTAAATTTGAACTTTGGGAAAATCCTTCAATTTTGTGCAAATTTGAGGGTTTTTATGCCATTAGGCCTCATTTAAATTTTTTGAACGAATCATGCATCATACAACATTAGAAAACGTTCTAAAAAGTTGACTATAATTTTTTTTATATACAAGATTAAAATCTCTTGAAGCAAACAAAGAAACATAAATTAATGTGGCTGACTAGTCTCAAATCTATAACTATTTTGGTTTAATATTTGCATATCAAGATTATTTTGGAGAACCCAATGTCATACTTGTAGAAAGTGGGAAAAATGGTATCACATTTCTAAATAATTAGGTTTCGTTGGTTTATATTCGCAGCATAGATTAGCTTCTTCCATTACCAGACGAAGCCGAATATTAGAAAGTTATCTAATTCCAATAAAGGAGATCATGTTGGCAACAAAAGACTTCAGTCGTGATAATTGGAGAGGAGAAGGTAGCTTTGGCAATATCTACGCATGACATCTTTCAAAACGTTGGCACAATTGCACCATTGCCATAAAAACGCATGATACCCAAGGTCACCAAGGATATGAAGAGTTCCATACTAGCTTAAATTTATTTTTAACTTCTTCCATGAAAACATCATCCCTTTCGTTGGTTATTGAGATGAAGACAATCATATGATTATTGTTACCGAGTATGCTAGCAATCAAAGCCTTGATCGTCATCTCCGGCACCCACATAAGAGGAATTGTTTAACATGGGCACACCGCCTCAAGATCTGCTTAGGAGCCGCAAGGGGACTCAGCTACCTTCACTCAAACGGAGTAATACACAGAGACATCAAGAGCAGGAAAATATTGCTAGATAAAAATATGGAAGCTAGAATTTGTGACTTTGGTTTGTCAAAAAAGAACTTTAAAAATCAGCAAGGTACCCACATCTATACTAAAGCTGCAGGTACCAACTTTTATTTGGACCCTTTTTACGGAGAAAATGGCATTCTTCGTAGAGTGACGGACGTGTACTCATTTAGTGTAGTATTGTTTGAAATCTTGAGTGGGATTATGGCTTATGAAATGAGGAGCATAGGAAATGGTAAGCCAAAACATCTGATGAATTTGGTCGGACAATTATATGATAACAAATTGGAAACGTTATATGATCCTTGTATAGCAAATCAAATTGATAGCCGTTCTTTTCATACCTAAAAAGAAGTTGCATACAAGTGCATAAGCAAAATTCCCCAGGAACGTCCAACAATGGACATAATCATCGAGAGAATTGAGGATGCAATGGATTTTCAAGTAATCCCTTTGATTAAATTCTTTTGAAGGAATTGTGCTTTCAAAGTCAAAATATATTTTTGTCTTGATATATATACAGGGCCGGTCCAAACGTATATGAGGCTCGGAGCAAAAAGAAAAAAAAAAAAGGCCCCTCAAGGACAAATATAATAAATATTTAAAAATATATATATTATTTATTATTCAATATAGACTTGTTCAATTAGCAATAACAATAAAGCCAAATTATTTATGGTTTGAGCTACTTTGAGTTAAAACCAACTTTAAGCCTTAAAACTTAATTATGTAATAATTATATATATATATATATATATATATATATATATATATATATATATATATATATATATATATATATATATATGTTATGTGTTTTAAGAACATTAAACTTAATGGTTATATACATAAAAAAAAACATAAATTATTAAATATGTACGAAACAAACTTTAGTAGTTATATGTATAGAAAAAATATAAGTGACTAAATATGTAGAGAAAAAAATATAAGTGATTAAACTATTTCCACATATTTAGAGCTTTTCAGTTTAAAATCCTTTGCATTATGCTTTATTTTTATCGGGTCATATTAATATAATTTTTTTTTCAAACATCTAATTTAATTTAAAAACATATAACAGAAAGATTACTCTGTTGGACTCATTTCTTTAGAATGGGCATGTATATTCTAATATATCTCTAAATTCTATTATTGTTTCAACACTTAAACTTTCAACCTTTTAGATGAGAATGTGGGACACTTATTTTATCTACCACTTCTTTACAAGTCTTTTTGGTACTTAGTTTGAGTCGTTATCTATGCAATATTGTCTCTTCCAACATAGTCCAACGTCAATGAAAATTAATTAAATGTGTCTTATTTAATTATAAATATAGAATCACTTTCTCTTATGTAATGGGCTATTGACTTGACTAAAATTTACTTTAGAATACTTCAGCATAATTGAAGTTTTATTGTTCATTTACTGCACTTTTAATTATATGAAGGATACACAAATAATTACGTTAACCTAGTATATTTACTTTAAGTTTGACTTATCTCCTCTTCATGAGGTTGAACGTTTTAGTTGTCTCAGACACAAATGGATTTAGGGGTAAATTTTATTTGTCGTTAAATTTTTTTTAACCCTTGTAAGTTTATTATTAAGTAATTTAATGTTTTTATATATTATTTTAGTATTTATGTGATTAATTGATATATTTAAAGATAAATGATAACGACACTGCTTTGAATTGAATAAATATAGGAAAAATCATAGTTGACTAAGAAAAGGAAAAGAATGTTACAAAATGGTGTTCATAGGGCACAAGTTCGAAATGATGCCAAAAAGGGAAGAAACACGACGCGCGAATCACATACACGCGCATCATCATAGTTGAAGAATTCGGCGATAACATATTCTTTGAAGAATGAGTCGTGACATACAACCTCATGCAGCATGTAATGTGTGTTTGTGATTTTTCAACCTTTATTCAGAGAATAATCATTCTACACTTGTTCACGTCTCGTTAATTGTGATTTTTCAGCTTTATCAATTATTAATTTTTTGTTCTATTTTATGCATTTTTGTTTTTATATTCTACTTTACTTTGAATGTAACAACGTAAATTTTCAAAATAATTTTTTATTTTTAAAACATAATTTCATTCCTAAAATAACATAAAATTCCATTGTATCACATGCTATCACAAATCCCAAGATCTAAAATACATAAATCCTCTCAGTGTATACGGATCATGCTGGCACCTTCCCACGGTCCTCGCTAGTATCTGAAACAAATATCACATAAAACGGTAAACATAAATACTTAGTGAGTTCCCTAAAATACCACATACGCACGTACGCCACCCAAGGCTATAAGACCTTCCGGTCACTGTGTCTCAGAGGACTTCCGTCACACAACCCTGGTAGACCTTCCGGTCCTACCCATAATGACCTTCTGGTCCATACCCTTTTGACCTTCCGGTCCATACACTATTGACCTTCCGGTCACGACCATGATGACCTTCCGGTCCATAACATACTGCTCATAACATAATATAACATATACATATCACATATCATCTATCAACAATATCACATAATCTTCATAGCACATAAGACCTTCCGGTCACACATTTTTACCACTCTAGGTAACGTATAGTGAGAAGACTCACGTTGTATGCTGTCTAGTAACTCACGTGCTCGGTATCCCTGAACCTCGTAACAATGATCTAGCCCCGCCTAAACACATAAGCAATCACCACAAATCAATAACAACTCTCCAGGGTAGACTAGTCCCTTCCAATGGTCCCTCAAAAGGCTAAAAGACTATTTTACCCTTCTAATGATCCAAAAGTCTAAGTGTTGACCAAACCCTAAAGGTCAATGAAAGTCAACTGAAGTCAACAGGGTTACCACTGGAAACGAATCGCGGGGCAACCCGACTCGACTCATCGAGTCCCCATATGGACTCGACAAGTTTCCTCCATGATAACACCCAAACGACCTTCTGAGGTCAGATCTGCTTCTCTAACCTATAGATCTAACTTCCCCATGACCAATAATCACGTAAATGTCAAATCTTCACACCCATGCAACGCACCCAAGGCTTTTTTTGGTGAAATGGCTTCTAAAATGTCACCCTAGGTTCATTTCCTCCAAGGAATAGTATAAAGCAAAATAGATAGTGCTCTCTGGACCTGTAAAGGTCCAGATCCAGAGTTGTAACGTCCGTAGATCTAGGCTAGTCAATTTAGAGATAATAGGGGTCGAAAACGACTTTTTGACAAAAGATTATTTAGAATAAATAATCTTAACCAAGTTGTAGAATATGTCTCAAGGGTTCCGTACATATAAAGAGCTGAAATCCAAGTTATAACGAAGAAGTTATGACCCGTCGAAGTTTAGCGACGGAACCGACATAGCACCGCGAAGACGTAAATAGTAAATTTATGATAGATTGACTTTTAGTCTTAGTAATCTAAATGAAAGTCGTAGAATATGTTACCCTGAGAACGTCCATAAAAAGAACGCCTACATCTGACTTCGTATGAGGAAGTTATGATTTTTCGAAGTTTCGGCTTAGCTGTATACAGCCCGAAGTTCGGGTATTAGATCGAGCGGTTTTTAGCCGACACAACCTAAACGAGAATCGAAGATCTCGTTATTAGTAGCGTAAAGATAAAAAGATAGACGTAAATGGACATCGGATGAAGAAGTTATGAGGTTTTAACGGACCAATCCTATCCTGGCCTGTTAAAAATATAACTTTAAAAATAAAGTCAAAATTAGCCGACGGAGTCTAAATGAAAGTTGTAGAGTACGTCTCCACCTACACGTGGATATAAATAACGTCAAAAACGGAGTTCGTATGAACGAGTTAAAAATTATAATAACATATTTACATATTAAAATAAAGTATAAATCATATATACGTACACACACACACACAAACACACACACACATATATATATATATATATATATATATATATATGTGTGTGTGTGTGTGTGTGTGTATCAGTAGAAAGGTATCGACGAGGCTGTCATTATAAGACTAATGTAAAGTTCTTTCGACATTAGTTTAGTACAAATATCATTAAATCTATTTAAAATAGTATTATAAAGGGGCGTTTAGTTGTTTATATAACTAAAATGTCATTAAGTAATTATGGAGGGTAGTTTTTGAAAATTCAATTAGTATAAATAAGAGCCTTGGGCTCTCATATTTCTTGCACCATTCTCTTGATTCAAGACTCTTTCTCTTCTAATCCCCCGAGCATTTCGGTCCCTCGTGATTCAACTTCTCTTTCTGTTGTTTTAGAATAGTAAGGTGAGCGCCGAAGCGCTGCACGAATCTTTCTTAGAAAAATTCAGCGACGATGTTTTGCCCTTGCAGAGCCCAACTCTTAGCTAAAACCCCCTTGTAAGTAAGTTATGCTTACCCTATTTTAATATAGCTTATATTTAAAATTAGTATTGTTATTATGAACTTATAATAAATATTTAAGCTATTATTATATAAGTATCGTTATAATATATTTTTAACTACTCGCGGTACGGGGAATCTAGTTTAAACGGCTGCATACGGTTGTTGGATTTCAGAAGTGTTATATGCCAAAATGGTCCTGCCCTCCGGTGTTTTATGTCTGGCCCCTGTCTGTACATAGTGGTTGGAAAGTATTGTTTAAACGCTGATATAATAATAATAAGACTAATAATTAGTCACGGTAAATATTAGACTAAAATCTAGTGGTAATTGTAACGCCTGTAGATCCGTGCTAGTCAATTTAGAGGCAATAAGTGTCGAAAATGACTTTTCAACAAATGACTATTTAGAGTAAATAATCCTAACCAAGTTGTAGATTATGTCTCAAGGGTTTCGTACACATAAAGAACGCAGAAATCCGAATTATAATGAAGAAGTTATGACCCGTCGAAGTTTCTCGGCAAAACCGACACGACACTGGGAGACGTAAATAATGAATTTAAGATAGAGGAATTTTTTAGCCTTAGTGATCTAAATAAAAGTTGTAGTATACATTAAACCGAGAACATACAAAAAAAGAACACCCAAATCTGACTTCGTATGAGTAAGTTATGATTTTTCTAAGATTCGGCTTAGCAGTGCACAGCCCGAAACTCGAATTTTAGTTCGAGCGGTTTTTGGCTTACGCGACCTAAATGAGAGTTGAATATCTCATTAATAGGAACTCAATTGTAAAAAGACAGACGGAAACGGAGTCCGTGTGAGGGAGTTATGAATTCCTCACGGTCATTTAGCCGTCTAATATCCTTGTACTGTTAAATTTAAGATCGGTCGAGAATTAGCCGACGGAGTCTAAATGAAAGTTGTAGAACTTTTTTTACCTACGTGTGGATATAAAGAACGTTGAAAACGGAGC